ATTGTGAAGACTATTATAAAGCCACAACTACAAGATCAAAAAACGGCCGCTACGTTGTACGGCTACCATTCAAGCCACAATTTCCCGACACACTCGCCTTAGGCCACTCTCGAACCTCAGCACTTCAGCAATTTTTAAGTATGGAAAAAAACCTGCTTAAAAAAGGCGAGCTTAAGACCTCGTATGACAATGTACTCGAGGAATACCTCAAATTAAATCATATGGAAGTAGTCGAGTCATATGAAAAAATTACAAAAGGTAAATATACTTCATTTTACCTCCCACACCATGCAGTAATAAAGCCAGAAAAACTTACAACAAAAGTAAGAGTTGTATTCAATGCCTCGAAATGCACAAGCTCAGGCAATTCATTAAATGACGTATTATATACGGGACCCACACTACAACCTGATTTAATGCTCCTAATACTAAATTGGCGCATGTTTAAATACGTTTTCAATGGGGATGTCGAAAAAATGTACAGACAAATCCTTGTGCATAAAAACGACCAAGATTTTCAGCGCATTATATTTCGCAATTCACCTAGTAGTCCAATACGCGACTACAAATTAAAAACGGTGACATTTGGCGTAAATTGCGCCCCCTTTCTTGCCATTCGAACACTTCACGAATTGGCAAACGATATAAAAGAAAAATTGCCTCTAGCAACCCCGGTGTTAAAAACACAAACTTATGTGGACGATATCCTGTCGGGAAGCCACAGCTTACCCCAAGCATGTGAATCACTATCTCAAGTGATCCAAGCCCTCAACTCCGCAGGGTTCCCCTTAAAAAAGATAACGGCCAACCACCCCGAAATATTAAAAAATATAAATAAAGATCACATATTAGACACAAACTTCCTCATCTTTGAAAAAGAAAGTACCACCAAAACTCTGGGAATACGATGGAATGCGATATCAGATCAATTCTCATACACTCTTGAGTCAATATCTGCAATATCCGCAAAAACCAAAAGGCAAATCCTGTCGTCTGTGGCAAAACTTTTTGACCCCGCAGGATGGCTTGCACCAATTATGATCCAAGCAAAGATACTCATTCAAGAATTGTGGCTAGACGGAACAGATTGGGACGAACAAGTTAAACCACTACGCTTGATAAAATGGTCCCAATTTGCCAACAATCTGAACACTATTTCGGAAATACAAATCCCTCGATGGGTAAACTACTCTCCCGAACATCAAGTCGAACTTCACGGCTTCTGCGACGCCTCTGAAAAGGCATACTGCGCTACTATATACGTGCGCACACAACAAGATAGCAAAACAACAAGCCACTTGCTAGTCGCAAAAGGCAAAGTGGCTCCGCTAAAGACCGTAAGCCTACCACGACTTGAGCTATGCGGGGCGCTCCTCCTTGCAAAACTAGCCTCCACCGTTCAAACCCACTTAAGCCTGAACAATCGCAAATTACATCTATGGACTGACTCTGGAATAGTTTTAGCTTGGTTAGAAAAACCACCCCATATGTGGAAGACATATGTGTCAAACCGCACAGCCCAAATAATTGACTTAGTTGGGCCAGCAACTTGGCGACATGTAGCCAGTGCTGACAACCCAGCCGATCTTGGCACAAGAGGTTGCAAACCCCTGCATCTCGCCACCACCTCACTCTGGTGGAACGGCCCCAGCTGGCTAACAGAATCACAAGAATTCTGGCCACAATCCCCGATACGCAACATAATACCCCCCGAAAGTCGAAAAATTGAAAGCTTTCATGCCGCATTGAATGATACTGACATACTGGAGCGATTTTCATCGTTCCCCCCGAGCCCTCAGAGTAATAGCTTATATGTTTCAGTTCATAACTCGCCTCAAAAATAAAGTAAAAGGAGCGCCTAACCCCCCGCATCATGCACTAACACACCAAGATCTGCAACGGGCTAAAATGACTCTGATTATGTCTACTCAGACCCGCTATTATGACCGGGAAATAGCACTTTTGATGGTATCAAAGCCAATAGATAAAAAGAGCCCACTCTTAGCTCTTAATCCCTTCCTAGACTCGAAGGGACTGCTACGCGCCAATGGACGTCTGGCAAACTCCAGTTTGAGTTATAACGAGCGGCACCCAATAATAATACCCGAAAAATCCCCATTCGCCACACTGTACATAAATTATTTGCACTTATTGATGCTACATGCCGAACTTCGGCTCATGCAGCAAATGATACGACAAGAGCTTTATATCCCACGACTAAAGCCTCAGATAAAGAAATGTATTTTCCTGTGTAAAGTCTGCACTCTACATAAGCAGAAAATGCGCACGCAGATCATGGCAGCTCTACCACCTGAACGCTGCAATTTCTCTTTGCCCTTTACCATCACGGGTGTTGACTTTGCGGGGCCTTTCCAGATAAAGGCCTCTATGTTAAGGTCTTCCACCTTTACGAAGGGCTATGTGGCCGTTTTTGTATGTTTTTCGACAAAAGCGGTACACCTTGAGTTATGTTCAGATCTGACAACTGTAGCTTTTCTCGCGGCATTTGCCCGCTTTGTCGGAAGGCGTGGATTTCCCTCAAAAATAATGAGCGACAATGGCAAAACATTCGTCGGAGCCCAAAGGGCCACGGAAAGGCAATTTATCCAATTTATTAAGGAAGTCTCGCCTGAAATCATAAAGAAATATGCACCCCAAGGAATTAATTGGCAATTTATTCCCCCTAGCGCTCCACACATGGGGGGACTCTGGGAATCCGCCGTAAAAAGCTTTAAAGCGCATTTCAAGAAGATCGCTGGTAATTACAAATTTACTTATGAAGAGTTCACCACTCTATTAGCTCGAATTGAAGCCGTTCTCAACTCACGGCCTCTCAATACCCTCTCGCAAGATCCCTCCGAGTTCACAGCCCTCACCCCTGGGCATTTTCTCAGAGGAGCTCCACTTCTGGCCATACCCGAGCCAGAAACGCAATCCCTATCACTCACAAATCGATGGGAAAGAATTAAAGTTCTCCATCACGAATTTAGCCGTCGATGGAAGGAGGAATATCTAAAAGACCTCCATAAAAGATACCGATGGAAAAACACTCAAGAAGCGCCAAAGATTGGAGACTGTGTCCTAATTCATGACGAATGTCTTCCCCCTACGGAATGGCGGCTCGGCCGCATAGAGAAAGTATATCATGGCTCCGACGGTCATGTCCGCGTAGCTGATCTCCGTACACAAAGCGGCATACTAACTCGACCGCTCGTCAAGCTATGTTTCCTTCCAACCGCCTCCCCTACCGATGGCGCGAATACCGATAGCTAAAATCGTCAAACCGCAATAAACGCAACGAAGCCGTAACAAAACCCGATAATATAAAAAGTGCCTAAATCCGTACCCTCGAACTCACACCAAGTGGCTTACACCTAGCAATCACGCTCATAACTGATGTATGCTATACTAAAGTCCGTTCTCCCCTAATGTAGGAAAATATGGACGTGGAAATGCTTGAAGCCGCACCAACGCCAACTATCCGTTCGGCAATCACCGTGCCCCGCTCGGCAGCACCGCCAGTAGCAGCTCCTCGCTCTACCGTGCCACGTACCGCAGCAGCTCCGGCCGCAGCGCCTCGAAACCCCACGCAACGACCCGCCGCCGCCCCGATGGCATCACTACGTGCCGAACCTCCACAAAGGAGCCCAGCAGCCGTACATGGCGTACGATGCCCACTGTGTCGTCGCCCACACAAACTCCGCCTATGCTCCATTTTTAGGAGTATGCAGCCGCCGCAGCGCCAGCAAGTCGCGCAAGCTCATGGGTACTGCCTGAACTGCTTGGCGCTGTCGCACGCCACGAGGGAGTGCGACTCCCCCATCATGTGCCAACTGTGCGACAGACCGCACCACACGCTGTTGCATCGCATCCCCGCACGAATCATGCCCGAGACACCAGTTGCCCGCAGCAATGGGCGACGAAGACCGCAGGGCAATATAGCACGATCGCGGCGACCACCAGCACAACAGGGCCACCGCACTTTTAACCACCCCGGGGCTCGCTATCGCGCTCCAGCAGGGACCCGTCGCCGACGCCAGCCCACGCAACGCCCCCGTCGGGCAACCGGACTAAGCAACGTCGTGGAGACCCTGCAGCAACTCCAGCAGCTACTAGGCTGAAGACTCGCCTAGGGGGGCCGGGATGGCTAAATGAGTTTAGCTGTTCCCCCCTATTGTCTATGGTGAATGGCTCCGTGGAGCAGCAGCAACCCTGCCTAAGCGCCCACTCACCACGGCCCGTTCCCCCCACGTACACATAATACACCTACACACACACATATACATATGAATTGTACTTACACACACACACACACATGAACTACAAAATAACATAAAACAAGACACAATTTTGCGATTACCGAGCCGACAAGACGTGTTCCCGCTGTACCTCCGCCTTCTCAGCGTTAATAAATTTAAATTGTAAATATCTTAAACAAAAGGAGTTAATTTTTATCGGAAAAGTGGTGAGTGTGCCCCCCTAAAAGTGTTGCCCCTGGTGTAAGAGTAGCGATGGTCCTTCTGCGCCAAACAGACAGGCACCTTTAAAAACTTAAATTACTCAAAAAAAAATAAAAGAGTGAAAACAGTGAAAAAAAAGAACACTAAAGCAAATACATATGTACATAAATATATAAGCAAATAAGCGCACAAGTGAACAAATAGGAACCTTTTAAAAAATTATATAAAATTTAATTGCACGGGCGCGCCGCGTAAACAAAATTTACACAAAACAAAATTTCGGGCGCGAAAACAAAAAAAAAAAAATAAAATAATAATCTTCAATAATAAAAATAGAGGACAACCAACAGCCAAGCAGCAATATTAAGCGAGGACGCAAAGACAACGAGGGAGGAGGATATTAGTAAAAGCGCAGGCCCACCAAAGAACAATACAGTTCACCAGCAAGAGCAGCCCATAATACCCCAAAGCCCTTAATATATCAAAGTGAGTTGTATCGTTCCACTTATTTTTAACTAACCTAAAAATCTGGTGAAAAAGCGAACTGGGGTTAAATTAACTCGAATTTAATTCCCATAACCTCATTTTCAGCTGGCGGTGAAAATTCAAATCACGTTCATATACGTAGATACCCAAATACATATGTACACACATATGATATTGCCCTATAAACATATATATACAGTCCACTTAATAAACTTACACCCCAGCTTAGCTTAACATAAAAGGCGCATAAATAATTATACATATATAAATAAATACTGTATGTAAGTACATACAGAAATCACCCAAAATAAATACAGTTCGCTTTAGAAACTATATATCAATAACAAGAATTCCTCCGCTTATGTGCTTAAATTTCGTGTAATAAAACACAAACAATTATACCGCAAAACATATTCAAGTGGAAACTTGCAAATATTTCCAGCAATACCCCTTCTGTTTGTATAACAAACAGCAAGCAGGATTGCATAAACAAGTAAGCTACAAAGCAAAATAATAACTAATAAGAATTGGCGGCAAAATAACGAATAGCGTATGTGCACATAAGCACAACAATACATACGACATAACATTATTCCCCAATTGCCGTTTCTTCACCTAATATAATACAGGCTTAATATTGGTGGTCAATATACATATGTACATACTCCCGTTCTTTGAACCCAAAATAATTTTGAAAACACAAACGGGCATACATCATATACAAAGCAACGAAAACGAAATTATAAATTATCTCTTTCTCCCGTCCTTCGCTAGTAAACATAGTTACACACACACTAACTATTGTTAACCACCCGCGCTTAACCTATGTTAATATATGGTAGCATTGCGTGCAAACATTAATATACTGACATACATACCTACTAACCCAGTAGTGCATATACCTTATACGGCGCACGTAAAGGAAAATATTAAGAAGCGCGGAAAAATAAAATCCCTCAAGTTAAAGATTTAATTTGCGATAATTTAATGAGCAATTTTTAATTGAAAGAGAAAAAAAAAAAATACCAACCCATCGAAATTATTAAAATTTATATTACGAAAAAAAATAGTCATACATACGCACGTAAATAATAAAACTCGAAAGAGAGTATTGCGGATACATTGTGTCACTATAAAGAAAAGTAAGTCAAAAATCCGATCGACTATACGGGCACTCACATTATTCCATCATCCGTGGGTATTAAGATACATAGGAAAAAAAAACAATTTTATAAATTCTCGAGTTCACATTTAAATGCAAACGAACAAGTCTCCCATCAAAGAACCGAAAACACCTCAATTGCTAGATATACCGAAAATGGTTGACGAAGATAAGCATCAAAGCACCCCTGCAGAAGCTACACGCTCAAAACAGGGTGCGAAGCAAAAAAAGACCAAAGATTTTTTCGGCCGCAAAATTTATTGCGGAAAGTGACAGTCTAATAAGATACTGCACTAGGTTTTCCGCAGCTCCTATCCAAGACAATTCAGAATCAGTTCTGGAAGTAAAAACCCAAAGTCTTGATAATTTTTGGACACGTCTCCAATCGGCTTACGACGCCATAATTGAAACTGAGGATTCAGATTTACCTGAAAATTTTAAATCCTCGGCTTACGCCAAATATGAAAATTGCTTAGACCAATACGAAGAAACAAAGGCTATGATTTCCGATCAACTAAAATTAATAAAGCCATTAAATGCACCTACTCCACCCCCGAGAGTAGAGCTGCCCCAGATACAAATCCAAGAAGCAAGTTCAGGCATACATCTTAAAGTGCCAGCATGTGATACAGAAGTATTTCATGGAGGTTATGAACAATGGCCGTCCTTCCGGGACATGTTTACAGCCGTATACATAAACCATCCAAAGTTATCTCAAGCGCAAAAACTGTATCAC